ACCATTCTGAAGTCTCTAAAGTTGTCCTGTTTAAGATTCTTCTTGCTGTTCATGGGAAAGAATGTATACAAAATACTTCAGGAGCTCTATACTCATTTAAGTAAGAGCATCTTTATTTCTCTGGCTCATCTAGAGCTTGCTGAGCTGGAGAATGCAAAACTGACCATCTGAACGTGGCCGCTAATGGTAGAAGTGGGGAGCAGGGGTGGCAGGCACAGCTGTAGTCCCTTCATGAGTCCTACCCTGCCAGCTAAACTTCCAGGACAAAAAAAATGGCAAACACAACTATTTATGTGTCATTCCAGTCCCAGAGCGCAACTGAAAAAACTGGAAAGGTCTCCACGGCCCCGGGGCTGTTTTGGGGTGAGTTAGAGCCACCCACATCTCAGCACCCGTCAGACCAAGCGACGGGGCTCGGGGCTTTGGGCGCTGCGGGCGCGGAGTCGCGTGGTGCCCTGCCCCGTCTGCCTTTCCCACTTGGGGGCCCCGCACGGTCTCGCCTGCGCCCATGAGGCATTGCGTCGGCTTCGAAAAAGTGACTGGAAATTTGCAGAATCTGTCCAAGAATTGATTTATTAAATATGTGTAATAATTCACCCTCCATCTCACCTCTCTCTATTATAGGATTTTCTTAAAATGAAAATAGGTTTAAAAGCACGGGTTTTGTATACATAAGCCGAAATATCTCTCAGCTGGATAAAAAACTTGTACCTGAAATGTATTGCCTCTTAAGGAAATCATTACTGTGTTACCATAACACAATCTCCTTGTTCAGCGAGTGTGATAAATACCAGTCTATTATCATAAGTCACTGCCAATAACCAAAGCCATTTATCTGAACGTGTCTCTGCCTCCCACAAATGGAGCTATCTTACTTTCGAGCTAGCTGTTAAATGCTCGTCTTCCATGTAGATGTATACTGCCTGCTGAAAAGGATATTCTGAGAAGTGCTAACCTGAGAGTCAACATGAGGCTGACGAATGCTCGTGTTTATGCTCTGTAATTAGTTTAACAGTTATTACCAGCGAGCAACAAGTTGCTGTGATCCAGAAAGGATGCTCAGCTTTCCTGGTCATAGGAAGATACTTATACATAAAAAGATCAATTGTATATGACCTACCACAGATGCTTTAGGTCGGTGTTCATGCATTATGAAAAAGTGCGCACATATACAGTGTAAGAAATGGAGGAAATGTTCCCCTGAAACCAACTAAGCTAGGATGAACGTGTTCAAAGCAGCACAATAACTAATAGCAATTTAGTGCCAGCTAATGGTCTTGGTATCTAAAGGATGACACAAATATTTAGAAGAATAAACAAGCAAAATGCAGAAGACTTCATACATTGAAAAGGCTTGAGGTCCTGACCAACTTCCTGATAATTCTCAGACCAGAAGTCACTGGAGACTATTCCCTGATGAGATGCTATCAGTGCCTTTTAGATGAGTTCATTTTCTGAAAGAGCACCGCAGCAAGTTTGGCCTCCTGTCAGCAAAGCAACAGCTAATGGTAAAATGCAACAGCTAAGGTAAAAAATCAGAACAAACTTGACCCAGCTTGTTGAAAGGCATCTAAAAGTGAACGGGGATGTTATGCTCAGTTTTGGTGATGAAACGATGCAGAGACGTTTCATCCTAGGAGGAAATATTTGGCTCCATCCTATGTGCTCCTGCATGAAAGAAATTCATTTCAAATAAGAGTTTTAAGATTCTCTTTAATTAATGGCTTTCATAACAGGAAAAGACCTTCTCTAGCCAGCACAGCAGCACAGTCAAGAGGCAAACTGGAGCAGGTGCTGGGTTTAGGAGGGGAAAGAGAGAGCAGATGTTAGCTTGAAAATTTGGAATGCTCTCCGAGTCCTGTAGCAGGAGCCCAGTTTCCATCAATGCATATTGTAGGAGCAATTAGTTGGGACCACCCAGGCCTACGATTTGCCAGAAACAAATTTTCCATTCACACAACATACTTCCCTAAAGCTGAATGTTTGTTTGAAATACTTCTACAAGTCATCCAGTCTTCACGGTTTTCCTTAAAATATATATCTTCCTTCTGTTTTGTAGATTTGGGGAAATCTGAACTCTTAGAATATGGATCTGCAGCTTTAGGAGAGTGGAAGCTGGGAATCTATCCCTTTTTATCCATGTTTATCTACTCTCACATGCTTTCAAAAAATCAAAATTCCAAGTTAATCAGAAATTGTTTTTTTGAGGTTTTGACCTAATTCTGAATAAAAATTACAGAAGTTCTTTTTTAAAAATTTAAATTCTGCTTTCCGTCACACTGCAGTAAAGGGTCTCGACTATGACAAAATTGCTAATTTTTGTATATGTTCTTTCTGTAACATTACAGGAAAAGTAACATTTTTGATAGTTGGAAGTAGCTTTGGAGAATAACATGAGATTTGGCTCAGAGCTAAGTGGTCAGGGAGGATTTGAGAGCAAACAGGTGAGACAGGAGGCTTGGTCTGCTAACTTCAGTTGGGCTGCGGATTCCAGCTATATCCTCAGTTGAAGCAGAAGATCTAGTTTGAAGGAAAGACAGATGGTTTGGGAATGGTGAGGATGTGGACTAAATCCTCTGCTTTTATAATTTGTGGCCAAAGATGCCACAGCATCTGCTAGCTTCATCCCTTACCTTAATGTAAATCACAGTGAAGGAAGGAAGACCCTCAGTTTTGTATGGTGGCAAATTTTGGTCCCTGCTGAAGTCTTCAGAGATTCATAGTCATGACCTGCACAAGAATCACTGTGCTCCACGGGCATTCCCTTGGGCCATCTATACCTCCATGTCTATCACTTTGAAATAAATGCCATACCTGCTGTAATATGCCCTTTGCAAATAACCTTCTCCATATTAAATTATGTGAGAAAATGCAAATCAAGCCATAAAACGCTAAAATTCTAGGGGTAGTCCTGGTCCCACTGGAAACTATCTTTCATTTACTATTTTTCAGGTGACATCAAGGAAGGAAAATTTACATGTGAAGACATGTTCACCAGGGACCCAAAGAAATAGATTACCTTTTTGACCTCGTATTTAATAGCAAGTTTAATCCTGCTCAGACTTGGCCGGTGGTGCTCGGGGCACAGATGTATGTTCACATCTCCGTTCAGAATAGCCTCTACTTCTTCGGTGTCTCTGCACAGGTCCAGCACCCCCACAACAAAGTCCTTGCATTGCATAGATAGCTTCCTATAGTCATTCTAAGGGAAAACAGAGAAAAACGAGTTATTTAATTGTGCCCTTGAAAGCATGCCTCAAACAAACAAACAAAAAAAGCAAGAGAGAGCAATTGTGAGCAAGGTTACTGCTGCAAAACTGCTGGCTGGAGTAGCAAGAAAGCACTTGTTTTCACCCAGGATGTAGCTAGCTTTTCACAAATAAACATGAACTCCTCCAGACCCGGTTAGCAATGTTTCTACCAGCAGCATAGTTTCCATTACAGTTGAGCATACTTTACAGAACAACATGTAAATAATTTATAGGGAACTCTTGATTTTAAGCAATCACTTGATTTCTCCTCTCTGTGTGGCGTATCTTCTAGGAATGTGGAAAGATGGCCAAGCAAAGATCCTGCTAACGGGTTAGAATTTACAGCAAATTTTACAGTTTAGATTCTTTGCTAGTAATTGTTTAGTAACTTTCAAGGAGATTCAGACTGGTACAACAAGCTGGAGCATCACACACGGATGTGTTCAAATGAATTATATATTTGTAATACCAATTTCAGTTTCAAATTTATTACCTAACAATTTGGTTAATCAGTCCTGAAAGAGCGTCCAGAGGATCACTTTTGTCATAACGCTTCTCCAGGAAATGGGACTTCAGAAACTCAGCGTGATTTCCTATGAAATAATTTCACCTTTCAGACTCAAATTACACTTATGGGAAAAGAGATAGTATGTAGCTAACTTGATAGAGGGCTAGAAGAGCAATTTCACTGCCTTTAATTAAATTTTCATTTTCACATGCTGACACTCAAAAAATGAGGAAAATGCCACTGTCTGAATAAATGCAGTAAATTAGGACACAATTAAGGCTACCATTAATATTCTAACAAAATGCTGATATTAAAGACTTGATGCAACAAATAGAAATAATAAGCATAAGACAAGCGCCTACTGACTTGAGAGATCTTTTCAAATTAGGTTTGATGAGTTAATTAAATTCAGCAGCTTATCTAATTAAGCCAGCAGCCAAAAAAAGAAGATAGTTAAACCTGTCTTTGATGAAATGATAAGAGTAACCTGGCTTTGTACTCCTATATTTTCTAAATTATTAATTCTAACATTTACACATAGCAACGTATTAGCCTTCCTTGTTAGGCAAAGATCTCAAAGCACTGTGCAAACATTCATTAATTAGGTAGAACAGCATGGTATAAAATATTATTTTATTAGAGGTGACTACATTTCTTTGGACAGTTTTTCCCCTTCAGAACTGAGATGCCCTTGATAATGAATATTTTTTAAATAAGTTGGTTTAATGACTTTGTCATAGGTTTGAGGTTGCTACTAATACGCGTGTGTGTCCCAACTTTACTTACTATGCTG